GACTGAGAGGAAATATATAGCTTAAGGTCTGAGGGAATGGGACCTGAGTGGTCTTTGGAAACAACTTTACAGTCCTGTCTTCCTGTGCTTGGCTGACCTGTGGTCTACAGCTTCCCTTTGTACTGGCTCTGAAGACCTTTATAATGGTGAGACTGTTCTGGGCAAGGGTCACTCTTTTAGCTACAGGGTTGAGGATATAACCTTGGTATGAATTCCAGTCTTGACTTGGCCACTTGCTGTGTGACCTTGGGCAACTCAAGTCACTCCATTGCCTGAGTGCTCTTATCCACTAAACCAGACCGTGCAATACCCACCCCATAGGGACGCAGTGAGGGTTAGTAGAGCTAATGCCTGGGAAGTGCTCAGATCATTCCCTGGCGCAGTGTTAAGAGACATTTTGCTAAGTCCTGTAGTAGTAACTGGTCTCCAGGCCACATGCCTCAGGGCCAGCCTAGTGCATAGCCACTTTTCTACCCTTGGTTCCTGCGCAGCACGGTCTGCTCACAGAGCCCCCTTGACACCATCCTCCTTTAGTGGCCATGACAGGCCCTCTCCTGGCTCTCCTCCTAGCTTATGCTCATTGTTCTTGGTTGTTCTCCTCTGTTGCCCTTATGCTGTCTGCCCCTGATTCCTGCCCAAATTCCTATGGAAATCCTTCTCCAGTTGGTTTCTATTTGACCCTAGGCAAGATGGCTTTAGTGGCAGCCTGGCTGTTCCTGAATCTGATTCTAGGGGTCTCTTTCTGAACTGTTCATCTTTATTCCAAATGACTTTTGCCTATTGTCACAGTAGGTTGTTCTGTTACAGGTCTGTCTTTGGGAAGATACCTACCCCTTCAATTCTCCCTCCATGCTGCAGGTACATTGGTCCTGTCAAAGCATCTCCCTTCTCCTCCCTTTCATAAGATGCTTCTGTGGCAAAGGGTAAAACCCCTCAGCAGGTGTGTGTCTGCTGTTCAGAATGTGCCAGGCCTCCATCTGCACTGGGCTCTGTTAGGACTCCCCATTAGCCCCTTGTCCTGGTGCATGCCCTTCCTGGCCTTGGAGTCTGACTTTTAGTCTGAGGAGACCTCTGACAGAGAGTCCATAAAGGTACAAGGAATCCCATCAGGACACTGTAAGTACTCTGACCCAGCGTGCACAAGGCATGGGGCACAGAGGGGAAGGGTACTTTGGCCAGATAGGAAGAGGAGGAGGGAGTGAACAAAAGCTGTCAGAGTAACTGCCGCTGCCTCCTAAAACCACCCAGTGACCACCCCCTCCCCCATCTGCCTCAGGGCCCCTGTGAGTGGCACTCTTGAGCCCCAACTCTGGAGTTCAAACCAGGACGAAGGTGACTTTCAGTTACTTGGCTTTAGGCCACATCTCTGGCCACATACTTGGTACAGACTGTAGCAGATGGTGACACTGTGACTTTGACTCCCAGTGAATTTCCTCCACCCTATTCCCAACCTCTCCATTCATGACCAGCATGAATAGCACTGCCCTGGCAACAGTCACGGAAGACCCTTTAACTTAGGAGTGCTGTCAGCAAGCCCTATCTCAGCTTGTCTTATGGGTTTGCTTTTTATTTTTATTTTTTTATTTTTTTATTTTTTTGCATTGCTTGGGCTCAAACCCAAGGCCTTGCACATGTAGGCAAGTACTCTTACTACTGAGCCACCCCCATCTCAGCTCCAGTTTACCTTGTTCAAGGATTCTTATGGTGGCCCAACAGCTGTTCCAGGGTCTGAAAAGTGTTATGGAGCTGGAGGTGTAGCTCAGTGGTAGTGTCTGCTTAGTACGTATGAGACCATGGTTCTTTCCCCAGCATTGCAAAACAAAACCAAAAGCTTGTTACTCTATTTAAGATTCTAAATGTTAGGCCACCTCTTTTTCTGGGCTGCAGTGTGAGATTATGCTCATATCTATAGGTCCTCCAAGGCCTGCCCACCTGAGTACTAACTGGGTAATATTTTGGACTTTAGATTGCAATAGCACAGTGTTAGGAACTTGGGCTGTAGATTGAGAGTCTGATGGACCGGCTTTGGGTCTTTGCCTTGGCAGTTACTACTAGTGTGACTTTTAGTAAGTTGCATGTTTGTCCTTTCTAAACCTCAGCATAAGAACAGTACCTACCTCCCAGGTTCATTGTAAGGAGTAAATGTGATAATGTGGGAAAAACACTTCACGACAATGTCAGGTCCTCAGAAAAGACTCAGAGGTTAGTATCATTGGCTACTAGTTGACATTGTTACTAATTCTCACTCTTCCTGAGCTCCTGTTTTGTAAGCATTGTTGAGATACTCTTGCACCCTCTCTCCCAAGGTGTGGGTTCATGAGCTGGTATGGTAAGGCATTTCATGAAACCTTTGTGCATTGTGGATTGAGCACGTGTAAGATTAAAGTTGAGAAGACCTCACATAATAGGCTTTGTTCTGGGTTATTCGTAAGTGTGGTTAGTTCTCAGAGAACTCATACTGGTCAGGCAGCTCCTTAGTTATTTGGCTTTTGCAGCCTAAAATGTCACATGTATGAAACACACAGCTTTTCCACAAGGTATATTTAGTAGTGACCTGCAGGGCCAGTTGTACACACCCATTGTGAAGCAGCTGCTGTGTGTTGTATGTTGTGCCCCGTCCTCCCTCCCGGCTGCAGTGGAGTTGTGTGGGTGGCACATGAGGGCCACACCCTCAGTGCTGGGTGTGGTCTGATGCCAGCAGCTCCCAGAGAGGCTTTTCCATTCTATTCAGATCACTTGCCAGTAAGCAGGAGAGAATTTGGGTCCTGTAGTCCCTGCTTAGTTTGAAGGCCTGGAAGGTGGCTGTCATATTTGTTGACTGGTCTGTGAAGGATGCATATATGGCAGGGCAATATTTTAGAGTTGGTTAAAACAAAGAAAACAATATATTGGAAGAGTAGAAAGTGTTCCTGGGACCTGAACTATTGCAGCTTAATGGAAAGCCTCCCAAGGAGAGTGCAGCAAGAGAGAGGGCTTTTAAGTCATTTAGGACCTAAAGGTGGATCAGCAATCTACCACCCTTGGGCTGGCCTCTTATTTTATAAATAAAGTTCTATTGGGAAAAAGCCATACCCATTCATTTCTGATGTGGTTATGGCTTCTTTTGGGCTTGCAGAAGCAGAACCGAGTAGGTGTAACAGAGGCCATAAGGTTCACAAGCCAAAACTGTTTACTGTCTGGCCCTTTACAGAAATCACGTGGACCCCAGTGTAAAGCATAGGTCTTGTCCTCTCTTACATTTTAGGAGGACTTAGGATCTGATAAAGTCGAGTCTGAGAATTAGAGGAGGAGCAAGGGACTTTCTGATACAGCAGGATGGGGTGAGAGCTTTGGTCTGGGCACACTGACCTGGAAAACACACTGCTAAAGGTGACCAGTGGGAAGTGCTTCCCTGGCCAGTTGCTTCTCCCTCCAGTCTGTGTTTTATTGCCCCAGTTGTGATGCTTCCCTGGACAGGTAGGAATTATGTTTCCCTCACACTGTGACTGCAGGTATTGTTTTAAGTTGGACTTTAAATGACTCTTCCAACCTACATACATTCATCCATCAAACTTGTTGAGTGCCTATTCCTGTGTAAGTGAAGGTCAGAGTGGATGTGGACTTGTCCACTTGCTGCCTCCCTAGCTGTGGGCTGCCAGCTCTGGGCAGGTCTGAAGGGGGACACACCAGTAGGATGCCAGAGCCAGAGACCTACATTTGACCTTCTGAGGAGAGGGAGAGAGCCACATTTCATGTTTGGTTCATGCTGCTCCCCAGAGCAGGGAATAGCTTGCCAGTTGTCTGCAGAAAAGGCCCCAAAGTGGGATTTGGCTCAGAGTCCTGCCACAAAAAGTGAAACAAGCTCCTGTAGAGCTCAGGGCATCTTTAAATGAACAGCAGCCCCCCAACCCCCCCCCCCAAAAGTAAGTAAATACCAAGGCCACAAGGGCTGGCCAGGCCTCCCCTCACCATGCTAGTCAGACCATACTCTGGCCATCTTAGGAGGAAGCCCTGCATCCAAAGAACTGCTTGAATGAGCTTGAGAAACAGGAGATTGTTCTTAGGCTGTTGCATCACACTGGGAGGAAACAGCTGTGTGGGCAGAGAGGAATAAACACGAGGAGAGGAAGACAGGCAGCACCACAGCCCTTGAAGGGCAGTGTTTTCCTCAGGATTTCTGGGACTTGGGTTCCTCTGTGTTTCTGTCACATCTGGCAGAACTGGCCTGGCACTGTAGGTCAGTAGCACCTGATGGGTCCTAGTGCTGCTTTGCTCCCACGCACCTCCAGGAAGGTCTACACCTGGCCCTGCCTGTGGGGCTTGCCTCCCCCTGCTTCTGTGCTCCACACCCCTTACTGTGGGCCTGGCTGTGCTTTGTACTCTTCTGACAGACTGTACTCTGCTTCTGTGTGTTGGTCCCTCCTCTGCAAAGCTTCTTCTCTGCCAGTTGCTAGGCTTTGCACAGGGTCTGCTCAGACATCTCCTTAGATACTCGCTAGCACCTCCTGGATGCTCCATGCCTCCCAGGGCATGCAGGAAGTTTCCTTTGCAGTTCTCGGCCTGCATGTCACCACTTTTTTGATGTCTCCTTCCCCAGTAAATCCATGAGGACAGGGACTGTGTCTTTGCTGAATGTTTGGCACACAGTAATTGCTTACTACATTTGTTTACAGATTGAATGTTCAGAAGGAAAAGTAATTTGTAAAGGTTTTTTGCTTTGTTTTGTTTTTAACAGCAAGCTTTAACCTTTTGATTTGTCTTAGTCTTATTTTCATTTGTTTTTGGGTTTTTTTGATACAGGTTCTCACCATATAGCCCAGACTGGCCCCATGATCCTCCTTTGTCAGTCTCTGGAGTGCTGGGATTACAGCCATGTACTACCATGCTGGCATTGGTCTTATTTTCTGAATGTCTTCAGAAAGTATTTCATCACTTCATAGGCATACATTATTTTTTAAGGAACGCTTTGAGATGGCCCCTCTGTATTGGCAAATCTACTTGCTTTTCTCTTTTCTCTACAGAATGAAATGTGCCTGGCCACCCAACAGCTTTCCAAGCAACTGCTGGCATATGAAAAACAGGTAACTTGACAGTTATGTAACACACAGTGCTGTGCTCAGGACTCTTTGAGTAGAAGCTCAGTGGCTACTTTTAAAGGAGTTCTCCAAAGGCATCCTTTAGGGAGCTTCCTTCCCTCCCTCCCTTCCTCCCTCTTTCCCTCCTTGCCTCTCTTCCTTCTACCCTCTCTCTTTCCTTTCTTTCTTCTTCCTTTCCTTCCTTCTTTCCTTCCCTCCACCCCCCTTTTTTCTGTTTTTTTCTTTCACCTTGTCCTTTTCTTTCCTTCCCTCTGATAAATTCTAACTGGTGATTATCCCACCGTCCTTATGGAGGTGTTCTAAGGAGCCTGCAGAACTAATCAACTGCCCTTAAAGGTTCCGAGTCTCCAGGGAGGACAAGTGAATCAATACTACTTGTTCCAGGAAATAAGCCCTCAAATAAAGATATCATTGTGTACAAACAGAAGGGCCTGGAAGGACTTGCCAGCTGGAGGGGCAGTTGAGTACAGACCAGGCAGGACTTGAGAGAGCTCCAGTTTTCCTGGTGGGTTAGACACTTTGACAGGGATATGGTGGTGAGGTTGTGTGGGTGATCACTAGTGCTGATTTCCACCTTTAGTTAACACCTGGTTCTTTTATTTTTTGGTCTTAGAATTTTGCTCTTGGCAAAGGTGATGAAGAAGTAATTTCTACGCTCCACTATTTTTCTAAAGTGGTGGATGAGGTAAGATAGCAACATGGGAAATTTTTACCGATTCTTTTTGAGGTTTCTTTCATCCTTATTTTAGTCCACTCTCCACTTTAAAATATCTGCTTAAATATTTGAGAAGATAGCTCAACTTGATGATCTTCCAGGTTCGTCCATGATGGAGGTTGCACACGATTGTTTGTCGATGGTCGGGAAGGAAAGGCATTGATATGCATGAACAGTATTTCAAAAGGATGGCTAAAAACTTGGTTCCTAAGGAGGGCAGATGTAACAGGTTACCATAAATAGGGACTTCAAATCAAAGGAATTTATTCTCTTACCTTCTGGAGGCCAAGGGCCTACAGGGTCATGCTCCCCTCCCCCAAGGGCTCAGCAGGGGTTCTTCCTTGCCTCTTCCACCTTTGGGTGGCTTTCTGCCTTAGCTCTTGGCTGCATCACTCCAGTCTCTGACTTCACATGGCCTCCCTGCCACCCATGGTTTTCCTCTTTGTATCTTCTCGTAAGGACAGGGCCCACCTGAAAAATTCAGGATGATCTCACTTTATGACCCTTCATTCCATAGTTGGACATGCTTTTTGGGAGGTTCACAGTTCACCTGTTACAAAGGGTTTCATACAGTTGTTCTTGTAGCTATACTTGGAATATTTGCAAAAACCCGTATTGTTGTAGGAAATATACAATCCAATTGTAAAACTCCTAAGAGCTCAAGTACTACTACTGATGGTGGAGCAGAACTCTCATACAATTAGGTAGGTATGAACAGTTCCACTTTCAAGAAGTTACAATAGAATATCATGATAGGCAAGCAAAAAGAATGTGCAGGTGACATTTAACTGCCCAGTCATTGATCTGCAGGAGATACTGGATGCAAAGATTCATATAAAATTGTCTGGATTGCATTTTTGTTCCTTCAGCATTCTGTTATTTGTTCAACAATGTCTGACCACCTGTGATTTAGCAGACTGTTTTAGCACTGAGGATGTAACGGTGAACAAGTCATACAGTGCTTATTGAGCTTTGTCCTTTGTCTGACTGAATAGTAGGAAAAAAGACAAAACTATTTTCTCCTACTGTATTCTCCTCAGCACACTTCTTGTCACCATTCTGATTACTAGTTTAACTCAATTCTGATAGCATCTATCTGGAGAAAGCCTCAGATCCCTCAAGTTAAGGACTCAGTCCTGCAAGACTGCCTGACTTCAGATGCCAGTTGCCAATCCAGGCTTCCAGTTCCTCTGACTGCTCAATTGGAGGTTCCCACGACCCCTTCCTGGTGTTTAGTCACTTGCCAGAATGACTCACAACTCAGGGGCACACTTAACACTTGCCAGTTTACGATAAGGGATATTACAAAGGATACAGATGACCAGCCAGGTGAAGTGAGTGATATGGCAAGGCCTGGAGAGGAGCGCGGGGCTTCCCTGTCTCTGTGGGCATGCCACCCTCCAGACTGTCCATGTGGTCAGCAGCCTAAAGCCCCTGTGGACCCTGTGGTTCATGGGTTTATGGAGGCTGAGTCCTGTAGTGTGGTGGATTATTAACTCAATCTCAGCCCCTCTCCTCTTCCTGGAGGATGTGGTAGGGCCAAGAGCTCCAAGCTCCTAACTGGCTTGATCTTTCTAGTAACCAGTCCCCATCCTGGAGCCCACCAAGATCTACCTTATCAGGACAAAAGACACTTCTCACCCAGGACATTCTGAGGTGGTATGACCACTGTGCCAGGAACTGAAGTTAAAGACCAAATGTTAGAGCAAATGACACTCCTTGCATTACACCCATATCGGGAAATTGCAAGGGTCTTGAGAGTTCTGTGTCAGGAAATGGGGCAGGGGCCATATATGCATTTTTTTATTGTATCATCCTCACTGTTATGGCTCTTTAAAATTTGTGTTGAAATGGACGTAGGATGAGGAGAAGACATAATTACAGAGAGCAAGAAGGGCTTTTTGGAAGGCAGGGAGAATTTTTGTTGATCAGCAGCCGGTGAATAACCTAGACTGCAGCAGCAGACAGTTCCCACTGAAGGCATGTGTGTGGCTGAGTAGAAGAGAGTTGCTAAGTAACTGTGGCTGGTTGTCAATCCCCGTAATGAAGCTTTCCAGTTTGAAATATTTACTCAACAACCATGTTTTTCTGGGCAGCAATGGTGGTTCTCTGGGTGGGGAATGAATCATTTTCAAGGGATGGAAGTGTGATTTTATAGACAACCCAGGAGGTTGGCACTGTTGAGGCGTTTCACACAAGCCTCTCCATGGATTGGCCTCAGAGAAAGCTACAGTTAGCCAGATGGGGTCTATATCTGAGAGGCCAGGAGCTGTTGAAGTCATTTCCTCTACCTGGGTCTCAATCAGGTTGAAAAAGCTTCAAGACAAGTAATTTGACTCTGAAATCAAAGAATAATCAAGCAAGTAGCGATTTTCATGGCTTATATTTAATAGGCTGACTTGGTATGGAATCTTCCTTGTAAGTCTAAACAGAGGTTCCCACACATGGTGACTGCCCCCAAAAGCAGAGTTTCTAGATCACTTCCATGGAGTGTCCTTGAGACAGGAAGCCATTGTCCTTAGAGCTGCCACTGGGCACATGCTAAGCACACATGGGTCAGGCAATCTGTGCTGAATGGTTTCTTTTTCTGTTACTGCCTTTTCCTCATTGTAGCCATGCAAGGAAGGTGGTGCTATAGCTACTTTCTGTGTGAGGATCCTGAAACACCAAAACAAGAGATGGCCTGTGCTCTTCCACTGTCCTCAGCAAAGGCACTGTGGTTAGATATGACTACATCTCAAGAGCCTCACAGAAAAATGACACAGATCCCTGGATGCTTAGGATGGAAATGACCAGATAGGAAGTTTGCCATTCCTTATGTGTATGACCATTGGAAAGTGACTTGCTCTGATGCATTTTGGTTTCTTGACCCGTACACAGCTTCATGTCTACCAGAGCAGTGAGCACAGCCAAGCATATACTATGCATATTTGTCCATGTTCATTCAGTTAATTGGTAGTGAAAAATGATAGATTTCTTTTTCTTTCTTTCTTTTTTTTTTCTCTTGTGGCAGTATTAGTTTGAACTCAGGGCCTCAGGCTTGCTAGGCAGGCCCTCTCCCACTTGAGGCATAACCCCAGCCCTGTAAATTTCTTACTTAAGTCATTCCAGAAGGACACCGAACACCTTTTGTCCTGATGGCATGTACAGCATGGATGACTTCATGTATTCCCAGCAGAAGAAAGCTTCCTGCTTCATGCTTCGGGGTTGAGATAGGGAGAATATTGACAGCTTGCCCAAGGGCTGCTCCCCTGCCAAGCAAATGGCTGACCTTTGGTATCTTTAAGCTTCTCATAGCCACCTCTGCAGCCACAGCCCTGAAAGCAGGCCTGTGGGGGATGCGTGTGAGTTTCTGCTGTCACTGCCAAAGTGACTGTGGGTGATTTCCCCTTAGTCACCCTGCAGGAATCCCCAAACATCCTCCAGGCATCTGCAAGGCTGTGGCCCAGGGAAAAGCCCGTCCACCAAGCTCGTTGCGGGCTATGGTGCTGGACGCTTGCAGTTTGGGCAGCATTGTGGGCATAAAGGACGAACTGCAAGTCCCAGGTTGTGGAGTGAAAAGGGCATGAATTTCCCATCCAGCAGCCCGTTCCTGTTCCAGCTACACTGTTTACTTGCTCTCTGGAGTTGAGAGTTATTTGCCTGTCTGTAAAATGGGGATAATATGTAACATCTAATTCACAGGAGGGTGAGAACAGAGCTCTGAAAAGCATGTAAGCTGGTACACAAAAAGTGCCCCCAAACGGTAGCCCTGGTGCTGACAATCTTTACTTCTCCTGGATCATTTACAAAGGCAGGATTTAGTAAGCCCTTGAGGTAGAGGGCTAGTTAAAATTATCTGCTGGGAACAGTCACATTCAAATAGTCATCTACTTAGAATGTCTACGCTGTGAGATCCGGCTGGCCCGTTTCACAAGAAGCTGCCTTTCCCACAGCTGCTGGGCCAGTTGGCTCCCAGCAGGCAGGTTTTTCTGTGTGTACAGCCGGCAGCAGCTTGGTGAGGTGGCAAGCTGTGGTGAGCACTGCCAGCAAACACAGCATCCGGCTCTCCCAGTGGATATGGCCAGAGTAAGAGCACAGAGGCAGAGCTGCACAGAGAACAGAGAGTAACTGGGCCAGTGCCCAGTCACGGATCTAGGACTATCTTTTTTACCGCTTTATGAGTGTATTTATTTGTTAAGGAAGTCGAACTTACCTGTTTAACCACACAGAAGCATTCAGTGTGATCCCTTGGTGAAATGAGACCATGTCAGTAATAATGTGTATTATTTTCTTCAAGAGATTTCTTCTTTCTTTCAGCTTAATGTTCTTCACACAGAACTGGCTAAACAGTTAGCAGACACCATGGTTCTACCTATTATACAATTTCGGGAAAAGGATCTCACAGGTAAAGTAACTGAGTTTATGCAGTTATCTTCAAAATATTGTTTAATTGACTTAATGTTAATTTCTGCATTAGTTTTTTAAACGTATGGTCATTAAAAAAACGCCTTTCTTTTTTGAGCACTAACTCCTTACCATGTTTCTGGCTTACCTAAAGGAAGTCACAGGCAAATAAAACAGGCATGGAAAGAGACCACTGTAATGGCACATGATGAGGGCTGCAAGACAGATGGACAAGGAATAGAAAGAGGGACAGAAAGGTGTGATAGCCTCTCAGGCCTCTGGGGCTCAGAAGGCTTCTTGAACATAATGATCTCCAGGCTGGGTTTTGAGAAATGTGTAATATTGAACCACGGTCAGTGATGCTGAGGCGTGTATTATGTGGGACTGCGTAAAGGCTCGCTGTGTTTGAGGAACTACAAATGCTTTGGAATGTCAGACGGGGATCTTGGAGAGAAAAGAACCTGGCAGGACCCCCCTTTCTTGGCACTGGGCTCTGGGGTGCAGCTGTGAAGGTGCAGGCAGTGACTGCATTCCCAAGGCTCACACTCATGAGTGAGGGATCTGACAGCTTAGAGAATATGCATGGCCTTTTGGGCTCATTTTGTTCTCTTCAGCTAAAATGCAATTCTAGGGTAAGTATGTATGTGTTAGAAATCAAAGTTGTCAAAGGTGAGTATGAAAAAGAATTAACAATCCTGAAAAAACTTAGTTGATGTTAGAACAGGGAATCCAGGTTTTCTAGTTCGATTTGCTCTTTATTATTTAATTGAAAGTATTTATTACTTAGAGGGTCAAGAATTATATTTGAAGAATCCTCCAAAAATTCCTGACAAAGAAAAGTCTGTAAGTAGGGGAAGATCTGTTTGAAAAGATCCTCTTCAAAGACAGAAACTTAAGTTGGGTGCCTGTAATCCTAGCTATTCAGGAGGCAGAGATCAGGAGGATCATGGTTCGAAGCCAGCCCAGGAAAATTGTTCCCAGTACTCTATCTCAAAAATATCCAACACAAAAGGGCTGGCGAAGTGGCTCAAGTGCTAGACCGCCTGCCTAGCAAACATGAGGCCCTGAGTTCAGTACTGCCCCCCCCAAAATAGAACCTTAAAATTTTCTATTTCTAGGCAGAAAAGATGCAGTAAATCTAAGGATGAATATTAAAGATGGAGTTTTTCTCTCTTGCTTTGAGATCCCCAGACAGTATGTCATTGGATGCTGGGGGCAGTGATGGAGCTGTTGAAAGCTCTCTCCCCACCCTAGGCCAGTGTGTCTGCCCTAGAACTTGATAAGTACAAAGTAACAAGTAAGATGGCAGTTGGCTTATCCCCAGGGAGCCCTTCACCCGTCACTGTGAAGGCTGTCAGGGTTCTTGCTCATCTCAAACAGCATGTGGAGCCCAAATCTGTTGAAGGCAGTCTCGTGCTGATTATCCAGCCCCAAATGAAAGCCTCATTAAGTGCTTTTCTCAGAAGGTTTCTATTAGGAATGTGGCATCATCCTAATCATTAGGAGGCATCATTTGAAAAGCAAAACCCAAGCCTGTTTAAAAGAAAATCGTCATCCCCTAAATCCTTTGTTGTTAGATTTATGTCTGTCTGGTGCATGGGTGGCCTTTGTGAATCCAGCAGGACCCAGCATGTGGGTGAGCATTTGACCAAAATGGTGACTCTTTTTAAAAGGAGAATAAAACTGCTCATTAGTAGTAAACATGCTTTCTTAGTATCTGAAAAAACCTCATCAAACTATCCTTTTCTGTGACCCAGAGACATGAATTTGAAGTGCTTGACCAGGTTCACACTTGAGTCAACATCAGAACCAAGTTAGAATCTGGTGTCCTGTCTGCTTAGACAGGTGATGTTTCATCTTATATTTTACTGCCTGTTCATTTCACCCCACCCCCATGCAAGTACAGAATCTGAATAAAGAGAACACAAGTGCTGGTAAGGTAAAAATAAATAAATAAACCTAAAACTCTGCTCCAGCAGAAAGCAAAATAAAAGATAAGAGGAGCAGGGCAGCACGCAGCCCAATGTCAGGAAGAGTGAGAATAATGGGCACAGAAGTTTAAAAGCTGAGGCAGTTTGGACGCAAACTGAGAAGCAGCATAGCTGTGACATGCTTTGATGTGTTCGAATGATAGAAAGTATTTTAGGTATCTTTTTTTTTGTACTAGGGTTTGAACTTAGGGCCTCACACTTGCTAGGCAGGTGTTCTACTACTCGAGCCACTCCTCCAGCCCTCTATCTCTGCATTAAGTGTTTAGCCTTAGACAGCCATTGCTTTCAGTAGCCTTCTTGTTGTTTTGGTCTTTGATTTGTTGAGCCACCTTTGTGTGTGATGTGTGTGGCCTCTGTGAGGTCATGGCAGGCAAAGCATGTACAGTTGTCTTTTCAGGAGCGCAGAGCTCTATTTGTCAGGTTTTATTTTCCTTTGCTCTAAGATGCTCTCTTTTCTCTTATTGCAGTACAGTGTACCAGCTTGCATCAGTTTTTCACTAACGCAAAGCACTCTGTATACCTTTGTTCATTGGTGCTCTAATAAGTCAGATGTTAAAATGGCAACAACAGGAAACTTCTAGGTTCTGGTATAGTCCTGACTATATTCTGATGAAAAATGTCTCAAGACACTTAACTTTGGGCTGAAGAATGAGAACTTAAATATATCTCCAGGGCTTCATGACAAGTACATGACACCAGTGTCTACCCACATCCCCAGAGTGCCTTCTCCCCCATAGAACCTGAGCCCTGTCTGGGGAGGAAGGGCTGCAAAGGCAGGCAAGGGCACTGCGGCCACAAGCTCCAGTGAGACCAGAATCACAGCCTCTGGCCCAGGGCCTGTGAAAACTGAGGGGGTGCAGGCAAAGCATGTGCGTCTTCTCAGGAGCGCAGAGCTTAGTTGTCAGGTTTTCTTTTCATTTGCTCTAAGATGCTCTCTTTTCTCTTGTTCAGAAGTAAGCACTTTAAAGGATCTTTTTGGACTCGCCAGCAATGGTAGGCATCCTTTCTATTCTTAGTGTGTGGGTTTGGCAGTGTGTATGGGTTTCATTTGTGTGTGGGAGAAGATGAAGAATGAAAGTTCTTACCTTTCAACCTATTTGGATGCTTGAAATGTCTTTTTATTTGCAGAGCATGACCTCTCAATGGCAAAATATAGCAGGCTTCCTAAAAAAAAAGAGAATGAAAAGGTAAGCCCTTTTGTGTCTTCTTCTTGTGAGCTTGTAGCATTAAGGGTGTCTTGATGGATTTTTTTTTTTCCTATACCTTGCCTTTAAAATGATTTGTATCTCATCTCAGTGGAGTAGACCTCCACTCCTATATTCTAACTTTTCCATCTGGATTATTAAACACCAACTAGAAGCACTGTAAAATTCTAATCCACCTGGTGCTCTGTCAGGTCATCTGACTCATACATCCTTGGGTCACTTGACTTCCTTGCTCAGGTTTTAACTCTTGAGTGTTTAGCCTCTGCTTTCTAGGTGTTTCACTCCTGTGGATAATATTAAATAGCTTCATGCATATAAATTTTTACTTCTATTAGATGATTTCCTTGGGCCAAATAACTTTCTTGGACTGTAGTCATGAATGATCCAAAATGCCTGTGATTTTCAGTGTCTGCCCCCACATCATTTCCTAAAAGGTTGTAGTACTGTGCACTGCTAAAGGAAGGTATTGGCTTCACCTCATGGAGCCTTACAAGTACTAAGATGCTGTTACTTTGGGTTTTTGTTTGTTTTTTATGCATTGGTGGTACTGGGCTTGAATCATGCCTTAACCCTTTTTGCTCTCATTAGTTTGGAGATAGGGTTTCGATTTTTGCTGGGGCTGGTCTGGACCAAGATTCTTCTGTTTTATGCTTCCTACAACTGCCAGGATTTTCTGTTGAGATTTGGTCTCCCAAACTTTTGTTCAGCCTGGCCTTGAACTTTGATCCTCCTGATATTTTTGTAAGTTGACGTGGAATCTTATCTCTGTGTTACTGCATTTGTCACAAAATGGTTGTAACAAACAAGCAAATGTTTTAAAGTTGCATGCTCTTGTGGAATTATCATACTCAGTAGGCAACTTGAAGTTTTCCCTTTTAATCAGGTGAAGACCGAAGTTGGGAAAGAGGTGGCAGCTGCACGGCGGAAACAACACCTGTCGTCCCTTCAGTACTACTGCGCCCTCAATGGGCTGCAGTACCGAAAGCGGATGGCCATGATGGAGCCCATGATAGGCTTTGCCCGTGGACAGGTAGGCGAGCCCTTCTCCTGAGGAGAAAACCTGAGACAGCATTTAGGAGAAACTGAGCATCTTCTAGAAAGAAACAGATGCACATCCTCCCTGGGCACTTCGGGAATTGAGCACTTTGGAGAGCTTCCACAAGGCTGAATTTTCTTTAGCTGGACTTGTGGGCCATGTGTTCAGGAAATGATGGCTTCCTCCCAAGCTTCCCTTTAGGAAGAGCCTCGTCTCTATCCAAATGAAAGCCAGGCCTGGTCCAATTTTTCCCAGCAGCAACTTCCTGCTCAGGTAGGATTGCTGGCTCAGAACCAGGCCTATGCATGGTCCTTTCTTCTCTGCATGTTCAGGGTCTTCTCAGATGATTGGTCCCTGAGGTCACTGCCAGTGTCTTAACAGCAGGTATGAGGAGGTGCTGCAGAGAATCTATTTGGCTCCTTCCCTCCTGCTTAATAGGCTACTGAATATTGTCTTAAGGGATGCTCCATTCTAAGCATGGGGATTTGACTGTTAAGGCATGTGACAAGAGTGTCAGGGATAAGCATGAGGGTGCCAGGCTGGCAGTACCACCCTGCCCTGCTTTATAGCCCCATTGTGCTGACTCTAAAACCGGACATGAGCTGGGTGCCGGTGGTTCATGCCTGTAATCCTAGCTACTCAGGAGACAGAGATCAGGAGGATCATGGTTCAAAGCCAGCCCAGGCAAATAGTTCACAAGACCCTATTTCGAAAAACCCTTCACAAAAATAGGGCTGGTGGAGTGGCTCAGGGTGAAGGCCCTGAGTTCAAACCCCAATACCATTTAAAAAAAAAACAAACCTGATACCAGTTTTGGTATCAGGAATCTTCTCTCATTTGACAACCTAGGAATAAAAAGAGATGCAAGGAAGAAAAATATTAATAAGAATGAAATTACCAACTTTAAATTCCTATATAAGATCATCTTTTACTTTTCTAACACATTTGAACTACATGTCCAAATGTACATACATACCTATTTCAGAAGAGATACAGTGTCATTTTCAGGTTGGGTAAAGGGGAGTAAGAGAATCTTCATCAAGCTTAGCTGTCTGTCTTCTTAATATGGTTGTTATATTGGTAAATGGGGACTAGAATCAGTTTATGCCTGCAGAGATAATATTTAAATAAAGCAGTATAATCTTTCTGTGTCATCTGAGTAAAGCTGGATTAATCCAGAAACACGAACTGTCCAGCTGAGGGCTTAAGCACTGGCAAATCCTTGAGAGCCATCCAGCGTCCTTGCGATGGGCACTGTGATAACTCAGTTGCCCTCCCTTCTCTTTCAGTTAGGTATTGTACCCTGGGCCTGTAAATGTCCTAGCTTTGTCAGCGAATGCTACTCTCTGTTCTCTTTAATTAACCTCTCCTATCATCTGTGCCCTCCCTGAACAGACAGTCCCTGTCTTTGGGGGCAGTAAGCCCTGTTCAGTTACAGACCCCGCTCCAGGGAGGGTGCCAGAGTTAGTGTCTCAGAAAGACCAATGGGTTGATGCTGTGGAACTCAGTTGTTGGAGGAGGGTCCTCACCAGGCCTGAAGCGTGGTTTGAAGCCAGCTCTTCCACTCTCATGGTCAAGGACTGCACCACTTCTTCTCACCTGGGCTTTTAAAATGAGGGCTCCAGCCACAGGAGATAAGACTGTGGGTGTCTCCTGGGTGTAGGAAGACACAGCAGAGCAAGCATGCCATTACTGCTGGGTGGCAGAAGCATCCGTTTCAAGGACTGAGGAAGGCACATTTTACTTTTCATCTAAAAAGTATCCAGATTTCAAAACACAAAACCAATTAGTCCCTTTCCCTACTGAATTTTTAAAATTCTAATGAAAACTAGTCCTCTTAGGTGAGTTAGCTGTCTTAACACACCAGTCTTTTGGTGACTCAGAAGCATCTGCTCTCCTGCCACAACAGCCCTTGGAAATCAATGTTTGTGGTGCCTCGCCTTTGTTAGCCAATGGTGGTGTGACCACTGCACTCCTGCTATCCTTAGGCTTTTTGGTGGAGACTGAGTCAGGCTTAGCTCCACCCGCTTTTGTGGGGGTGTACTGACTACTTCGTAGCTTCTCTGGTCCACAGAACACAGGTTTGCAATTAAGTCATGATTCAGTCCTTATGCCTGCAAACTGAGGTTTTGCAATCTGTGTACAGGCTTAGAGCACATAAAAATGACTTCTCACATAGTATCGACAGGGTAGGAACTAGGCACTGTGCCTGTGGAAGTCAGTGTCTTTTCTTCCCTCCATTCATCAGATGTTTTTAGGATTATGAGTTCCCTCCCTGGGGGAGCTTACAGAGTGACAGCTCCAACGGAGGCCAGGCAGGAGGAGGAGGATGCTGAGCCTTTAGAATGCAGTGCTCACGTAAAGGATACATGATACTAACTGATAAGTACCATCTTGATATTTGACATTGTGGGCGTGAAAATGGCATTTACAGTGTTGATCTGTGTGTGATTCAGAGATCATGGGCCAAAACATCCCCTGCATAAGGATAATCATGGTCATTTTCCCAGAGTGTCTGGGGAGCAGAAGGAGCATTACAGAATGCTTCCGATGATACCTACCAGGCCTCCTCAGGGCTCAGTGTGGATCTCTGGATCAGATGAAAGAATGCCCATGCTGAATGGTTCTCTTTCTTCATGACACTTGTAACTGTTACCTCCTCATCATAAGGCATGTCAAATGGAACAGTTCATACCTAATGTCCAGATTTTTAAAACTACTAGCCATAAAGAATGGCAAGTTGAGCTTTTCAGGATGGGTCATTGCAGATGTTAAAAATGCCCAGAGTGTTCTCCTAACCTGTACCCTGCCCTTCAGGGTATGTCAGGGCACCCAGACCTTCTGGAAGTGAGTATTACGCTGGAGTCACAGAAGGAAGAATTCCATTAGTACAAAAAGCAGGCAACTGCAGTTTGATTTTTACACTGCACCATCTTCAGGTCTCCTGGAGGCCCTCTCCCTGGGTAGAGAAAGCATCCATAACAGAACATTTGGAAAGAGGGGGCCTCATCCGTGTTGAGTAGCTACACAGTGCCAGGGCCCACCACGTCTTTTATGTACATAATGCCCTCTAATTTAATGTCATAGTTGGAAGAGACCTGTAAGGGACATTAGCCGAGCTCCCTCTGCAGCATCGCATCCAGGTCATCACAATCCACCTATCTGCCTGCGTCCATAGCTGTGCCCATAGCTCAGTGAGTGGACTTGGGCAGATGGTGGCCTTCAGGGCCAGGTGAACAGCTTGTGCTGGCTACACGTGCTTCCCAGGTTCCTGCTGGTGCTGAGCATCTGCTACGTGGCACACTTCCACTTTGTGCCAGAGACAGAAAGGTGAATGAGACCTCAAGAAGCTTACTATTTAGAATTCACAGAAGAAAAAAGCTGCTATTGATAATTTAAAAAATTATCAGTTGTAATTATTGGAAGAACTTGGTATATACCAGGCACTTACCTCACATTTTTCCCGATTGCACCCTTTCAGCAAGATTGCCAGGTTCCCTTTCTCCACTCAGGTCTTGGGGAGTCACTCACCCGTGTGGAAGAGGAAACAGAGAGATGCTGCCAGAGCTGCCACTGAAGGGGGCTGACAGCCCAAGTCAGCTGCTCCCCCACCCCCACACTGTCCTCTCCTGTTTAAAGACTTACTGATCACTTTCCCAGGCGATTTTCAGAATATTGTAATTATATCTTTCAGATTAACTTTTTTAAGAAGGGAGCAGAGATGTTTTCCAAAAGTATGGACAGCTTTTTATCCTCTGTTGCAGACATGGTTCAAAGGTAATGCTGCTCTCAGTGTTTGGTTTGTGTGCCTTTTGCATTTCCAGTCATCAATGTCATAGGTGGGGGTGGGCTCCACCTGCGGAGGGTTCACACAGTTCCTGTCCATGCTGTGAGCTCTGAGAGACAGCACACTAACTTAGCAGCCAGTACTTGTGAATGTTTGTGGCATGGAGATGAATAGTAAGGGTTTCTGCAGTTCCTGACTTGCATGGAGCCCAGGGGCCTCCCCATTGAGTGGAAAGGCTAAGCAAGATGAAAATGTCCACAGGGTGCTTCCTCTGGTCAGGATCTCCTTTGCTAATGGTCAAGTTTCACATGTTATAAGCTTGAATCTAGTTTAGATATGCTTTTTCCCTCTGAGCTAATGGGATTAGCAGCGAGAATTGCTCCAACTTTTCAGGAAACTCTGGCTGCCACATGAATTTATAATAGATAAAGGAGGCATGAAGCCTTTTTTGAATTACTTTAACAAACTTTAAAAAAGTGCTTGTTTTTTGGTGGGACTAAGGTTTGAACTCAGGGTTTCGCTCTTGCAGAGCAGGCAGTCTACCACATGAGCTACACCTCCAGTCCAGTTTGCTGTGGTTATTTTGGAGATGTGGGTTGCAGGAACTTTCTGCCTGGACTGGCCATGAATCACAATCCTCCTGATCTCAGCCTCCCAAGTAGCTAGAATTATAGGTGTGAGCCACTGGTGCCCAGCTGCAAGTGCGTACTCATTTAAAAAACTCCAGCATCACTCTCCTCAGATGTCCCATCCTCACTAGATAGTAGGCTATTGCCTCTTTCCTCAGCTGCTTCTATGTGAGCTCTGAGGTAGCATGTGGGTCCCCAGACTTCAGGCTCATATTACCCCAGCAAAGGTGAGTAGCTCCTTGAGTACTTGTCATGATTTCTGGATATGGAAATACATGTGTGCATCATACATATGCACATGTAGTTGAAAAATAAAATGGAAGTGAGCATGAAGTTTTATTTCATGTGGGAAAATGAAGAGAAAGTTACTCGTTTTCCTTAAGATGTTACATTTCAAAATAGCTTTCAAAAGCCAAGCAGTGGGATTCCTTTAGGCAGAAGTTACCTGAAAGGTTCTGAAAATTGAGGCAGATCCCCTAGAGGTGGCTGCAGTGAGTGATGCACGTTAGGTTTATGGTCACGCCAGAAAGCACCTGGTGAAATCTGATTGCAGTTTCTAGCCTTTTGATTATTAGCCCCTGGAATGTGAGGAGAAAGTGGAAGAAGAGCCTGATAAATTGTCACTGTGTATCTGTACCCTTTCTGCCTGTCTTCAGTCTCTTCCTCATCCTACGTTGGTTCTCAGAACCCCATGGCTTTCCATGTTTCTTGAACACCATCCTTGCCTCAAACTTTTCATGTAGTAGGATCATCTTACTGATGGGTGCAGGACACCCATGCCATGCGTTGGAGGTGCTGTGGTTATTCTTACTGCAGTTCCGGGCTCCTCTGTCTTCCCTCCATGTCAGTGTTCCCACAGCTAATCCAACGGGAGCATGCCCTGGGCACTGAGCTCAGAGCCTGCACCCTGACAAGGTGTACTTATCTTGGTCACAGGCAGCAGGCAGAGTTCCCAGACTGAACCTTGAAGCACTTGAGTCCCCTACTTCAACTAGTAAAGTATGTTGGCCTAAAGAAATCTAATTTTTCTGTGACTTCCTGGTGAGTAGGGAATTACCACCAGGTGGTTTTGCAGCCACGTCACCTGCACTGGCAGCCAGCCCAACTGAGAGGCCTCTAGCAGTGTCTGGTGGTGGCTTTAAAGCTTTGCCGCCCATAAGGAGGAGACAGTACCAGGTGCTCTGCTGTTCTTGGAACCCAGCTGAATCTAGACAGGGCAGCATGGTGTCCAACCACCCTGCAGAGTGGGTTTTTTTTTTTTTTTCAGTCCCTCCCCTCACAGTGATATATTTCTGGCTTTTTATCTTGGATTCTTATACTGTGTGTGTTGTGCCTTTTGTTTGTTTTTTCTTTAATTAGCCCTCTTGGAAAAGGGACAACTGAAAGCAGTTGCTTTTCTACCACATTACTTCAGATCCTGGGAGCTTTGGATTAACTCCCAAGTTTTTCAGCGTGAGTCTGTATGGGGTGGGGAGAGCAGAAAAGCTCCTAAAGTCATCCTATAATTGTGTGTAAGATGTCACACGGGTGCATGGGTGTATTTCAGGGGAGACAACCCACCTTTCGTCAGATTCCTTGGGTGGTTTACCTTAGAAGCTGAAGAGCCTCAGTGGGGCTGTTTACTCTTGGCTGCCTATTTAGCTTTTTCCTTCCCTCCATTCTCTCAGTGACTAGCAGGATGAGCAGTGAGATTTGTTCTCCAGCTGCCAGGTCTAAGGTTTCCAGTGATGGAGTCTCTAGTCATCCATTGAAATGTCAGAAAAACCACAATTAGCCTAGATGGTGTGCTTACATCGATCAAGCCATACTAAACTAGAGAAGGTGGAATGTACTTAGCCATGGAAGAGAGAATGTCCCAAGGCACTTCCTCTGAGAAGCACTGGGCTCGCTGGTCCCCTAGTTACCACTCATTTCGGTGTCCATAATCCTAGCCTCCTTTAACACAGGTGGGGAAGTGGAGCACTGCCTCTCCAGTTAGTGTTCTCAGATGGGTGGACCACATTGGGCTGTTACGATCAGCACTTTATAACCCACACCTGTCACCACTGGTGGGGAGCCTGGTGATTCCTTCCCTTGTTGGCAAAAAGAGCAGCTAGCTACTGTTTCTGGCAAAAGCTGCCAAGTTTTCCATGCCTCAGCACAAGCACACCCAAGCCAGGGGCTACTGTACCAGAGCCTGGACTTCAGCTCACTTACCCTTCTGGAGGCAGCCCTTGGCCAGCTAGCCTGTGTGGTCTAGGGGCAGTTTGTGATGATCATAGGAAGAGCACTGCCTGTGACTTTGTTGCTGCACCTTAGTTCTTCTCAGCCATCTTTCTGTCTCTAGTTGCTGTCTCTGCCACCCCTGCTCAAACCAAGAGTTGGCCATGCTGTTCCATTCCTTCCCATGTGGGACATTCATAGCTGCCTATACATGCACCCCATGAGGATGGGCTCACCAAAGCTTCTCTTAAAAGCTGTGCCCACAGTTCTGCACATACCTCTTTGCTAGCATATAGTTCAGTGGTGCTCCTTGTGTTTCCTAAAACAGTAGTCTTATAGACACTTTTGGTACTACAGAATCCAGTCCCTGTGCTCTCTAGCTTGTGGGGCCTGAGTTAGAGGGTGTAGAATTATGACTAAATGGGAGGCTGGCGGCTCCATCTGTAAGGCACGGTTGTGAAGGTCCTGCCACCTGCTTCTTAGTAGCACTAGCTAGTGACAAGTGATTGACCTAATACACTCTGTCTCAAGCATTCAGGTGGAACTGGAAGCCGAAGCAGATAAGATGCGGGTGTCCCAGCAAGAATTGCTTTCTGTTGATGAATCTGTTTATACTCCAGACGTTGATGTGGCTGCACCACAGGTCAACAGGAACCTCATCCAGAAGGCTGGTTACCTGAATCTCAGAAAGTGAGAATGCCAGTGCCTGCATCTTTCTGAACTCTGTTTTTCTCAGGCCATCTCTCAAGTGGCCAGTACGGCCTGAGGAGGTGGTGGGTGACACTGGGGAAGAGTTACAACTACAGTGTCCCTCCAACCTGGAGCACAGGAAACCCCTGGGCTTATGTCCCAGACTGCACTGAGAGATGGGGCTAACAGTAGTTGTGAGCAAAAACCCAGTGCCGTAGACTCCTGGATACTGCAGGCTACCCATTGCTTGTTACCACTGCCATTTGTGGCTAGACCACTGTTAACTGTTGTCAGCCTGGATCATTGAGAATTGTTAGCCCTGGGCCCCCAACCGACTGGCAGTGAGAGCACTGCAGAGTCCCACATTGAGGCAAGGATCAGGGCCAGGAAGCTTTTTGTCATCATTCAGATGACATCATTCAGATGGACTTTAAATGTCCATCCAAATGACAGGGATGGTCAGTTCTCAGGGTGTGTGTGAAGAGCACTGGCCTTGGTGTCAGACAACCCAGTTGGCTGAGCCTTGATGTCTGCATCTGAGGCTGCACCTTCATAAAGTTGTTGCAAGGGTTGAGTGCAGGCATTTCTAGTAGGTGGGAAACCCTTACATGTTAGCTTTAGCCATTTAGAAATTACTGGGCAGACACCCAGTGCCCACTCTCACACATAGTTGCTACTCAGTAAATTTACTGAATAGGAATGTGTTTAATAACTTACTCCCAAAACCCCAGTGGGGGATATCCTAAGAGTTATTGCCAGCTCTGTTCTGCAGGTTTGGAGATCATAAACTTAATGTCCCTGTTGGTTCTGCAAGGGTGAAAACCCTCACAAAGTTCTGGTATTATTTGCCAAGGAACTATTATTTTCCTTTTATAAGAACCCACAAATAAAAAACCTTCAGCTAGAGAAAAACTCAGGCTGGCAAGAGCCACCAGGATCATGGAGGGTGCGCTGTGGGCCGAGGTGACCTTAGTGACTGACTATATTCACACCAGTTCAGCTCCATGTCCACGATTTTCAGAGTTTTCAGTTCCTAACTGTGACAGACCAATTCTAATTACGGATAGCAGGTTGGCAGCCAAGTATACTGCACTAGGGGTAGCTGTATCCTGCCCATATATCTGGAGTTAGTTCGAGGACTGGCATTTCCCATGGGAGTGGAGCCCACTGTCTCCCTGGTCATTGAAGCTAAACTGTATCTCTTCTGCCGCTTTTTCACTTTTGAGTGATTTTCAAAGCAGTTTTGCTTTAATATAAAGACATTATTTCTGGCTGGCAGAGTGGCTCAAGCAGTTAGAGTACCTCCCTAGCAAGTGTGAGGCCATGAGTTCAAACCCCAGTACCACAAAAATAAAGGACAATGACATTATTTCTAATATACCCCTAGTACTGTGAACAGGCAGCACAGCCTGGAGGTGCCACTTGTGTTTCCTGGTACTGATGGGCTTTTGCATACAATTCCTACAGCAAGACTGGGCTGGTCACCACCACCTGGGAGAGACTCTACTTCTTCACCCAAGGCGGGAACCTCATGTGTCAGCCCAGAGGAGCTGTGGCTGGAGGTCTCATCCAGGACCTGGACAACTGCTCAGTGATGGCGGTGGATTGTGAGGACCGGCGATACTGCTTCCAGATCACCACTCCTAATGGAAAATCGTATGCTGCACAGGTTTTATTTGGGAGGAGAATAAATGTAGTGACTGCCCCTGCTGAGGGCTTCTAGCTCATTCCTACTCGTCGACCCTCCCTGGGAGCAAGGCCTCATTCTGGGTCTTGTAGAGCTTTCGAGAGAATGATTTTGTGTTCTCTGTGACACATAATACATAATAGATCCCCCCTCCTTTATTTAGGGAGTCCTGTGAGGATCTGTCTTTGCCTTTTGAGGGGAAAGGACCTGCTTCTATGAAACAGCAGTAGAAGGAGATATTTATCAGCATAGTTTCTGAGAGAGAAGGCTGGGGATACTCCTTGTATGTCCTAAACAAGCGTTTGTTCATGTGGTGGGGCGGGGCTGAGAACAGGTAAGGAAGGCTGCTTAAAGAAGTCTGTTTCAGCCGAAACAGGTGGTGTGAACAGCTGTATCATTTTTTACCATGCAGTCCCCACATATCCAGAGGACCCAGGGGCCTCAGAGACATCATACTTTAAACATGGTGGCCTTGAAGTCCTTCACAGCAGATGCCATCCCCGTAGATTCCCTCTCACTTGGAGCAGTGGTTTTCAAACTGTGCTCCAAGGAGTTCAGGGTCCATGAAACTCCTTCACACTGCCTGCCTGCAGTGTGAAGTGTGTGTGTGGCGGGGGGGACAGGGGGTTGTCTCTTTCCAGATTGGCAGAGCAGCTTTAGACATCATCCTTCCTCTGCTGATAGGCAGTGAGCTTGGATCTTAGTCATGGTCAGGTGCAGTTACTTCACCCTCGTCTCATCAGCTATAGAGCAAGAATGAGACCTGTGCTCCCCCACCTGCCACAGATAAGAGGAACAAAGGAACTAAGAGAGGCTGAGTCACTTTCAAGAGTTACACGTGGGGCAGTGTTACTGTTAACCTCATTCCCTGCCCTCCATATGCAGATTTGCAGTTCTTAGAAATTAGTGCCAAATCCTGTGTTGGGCATGGTTGAAGAAGCAGCTGGACCAGAGTCCTAGTTATCTTGGGTCATTTAAGAAGTGGGCCAACAAGATGGTCCCTGGAGGCTTAGACCAGAAGACCTTAGTCCATCTTGGTCATTTTAGAGATGAGAAAGCTGAGGCCCAGAGAAAGCAAATGTTTGTGCAAGATTATGTAGTATATTAGCAGTAGAGCCAGACCCAGGACCCCTTCCCCTTTGTTTTTTCCATCCCATCAAGCTGCCTCCTGGTGCTGAGTTCACTTGAAGTAGAACGTTCTTCCGTCCCTGAGATCTGGGAGGCACTGACTTGGATGCATTTTGTTTCAGGGGAATAATCCTCCAGGCAGAGAGCAGAAAAGAAAATGAAGAGGTAAAGCTTTATCTGTTTCATGTCTGGCCTAGTATAGTGGGTGACTCTGGGATTCAGTGTTTTGTTTTTTTTTCCTAATATTCCTACAGTGGATATGTGCAATTCACAACATCTCCAGGCAGATCTACCTGACTGACAACCCAGAGGTAATTAGCAGCTGCCTGTACCTGCACTCAGAGGTAGGCATCCCCCTCCTGAACTGAGTGTGTCTCCTGTGGCTTGTAGGCAGTCGCCATCAAGTTGAATCAGCCAGCTCTCCAGGCGGTGACCCCCATTACAAGTTTTGGAAAGAAACAAGAAACCTCCTGTCCCAGGTAACTAAAGGGCCAAGGAAACTAGCTTTTGTAGCATCAAACTATATAGTAGGAATTTGACATGAGTTGTCACTTGAGTCTCACTCTCAGGCACGTGAGCCCTGTTTAACAGAAGCAGTAACTGTGGCCTGGAAAGGGTAAAGATTTTACCCACATTCACACCACAGGTGAGCACTGTCTGATTTCGGCATCCCTATTCATTTCCACTGGCCCAGCTCCTGCATGCAGGGGCTGCCAATGAGGAGCTCTCCCCACATGTTCTGTCAACATCAACAAAGTACTAACCACAGTCCCCTTCTGTGTCCATGTTACTGCCTGGGCTTTCTCTGCATACATGTGCATTTATTTTGTATTTTCACATATACATTTTTAGTATTACTACCTTTTCATAGTAGTTTCTTTAATAACCGTATTATCCCGTCATTCATTATTACCAGCCACTGAGGTTCGCTTTTCTCCCCTTTTTGTTTGCTGTTGCCATTAATAGTGAGCATGCTGCTGGGACTTATTCTGGGAATCCCCCCTTTTGTCTTAGTGGGGGGGTTTCCATGTGGTAAGAGTAGGGTGTTGTGTGTGGCATTTGTTGTGCTAATGAAAGCATGGCATCAAAGGGCAAATTAAAATTACAGTGCATTTGTGTCCAGCTTTTAGTGGCATAGTAGAAAGAACTCCTTCAAATGTTCAACAAATACCATCTAATGGCCCAGAGGAAGTCGCTGGAAAGCTCAGTGGTTACATAGCTTCCTTGGGCTCGTGCATCTAGCATTGGGTGGGTACCTGAGAAGGAATGGTGGTAGGAAGTGAGGCCAGAAAATAAGTTGAGTTCAACTGTGAAAGAGTTCAGTGCCCTGCTCAGGAGTTACAGGCAGTGGAGCAGAACTGAAGGTCCTGAGAAAAGGGGTGACAATCAGAACCAGAACCAGGGGTGAGAGGGGAAAAGAAGAGTAGGAGACTCAACACAGTGTTGCTGTAGTGTTAATTGTAACATAGACCATAAGAACCTGAACAGGGAAGGAGACAAGTTTGAGAAACAAATAGTTCAGTGCTATTATTAAGGATTTAAGCTTACACAGGTAGCATGCTTGCTAAATGTAACTTTAAGGATAGCACCGTATGAAAGTAACTGGAAATAACATCCAGTCAATGGTTAATCTGTTAGCCTTCTGTTTGTAAAACTACAGAAATGATGGTGGTAGCTGGGTATCGTGATACATGTCTGTATACCCTGCATACAGGATGCTATACAGAGAGAGCCTGTCCAAAAAACCAAGGACCAGGGATGCAGTTCAGTAGTGAAGCACTTGTATAGTATGTGCAAGACCCTGGGTTGAGTCCCCCGTGCTGTGGGGTAAGACACTGGTGAGCACCACTGGGAGAGCCCTAGATTGAGGTGGACACATGGGCTCTAACAGTAGCTTTGCCTTGTACAGTTACACGTCCTTGAGTAAGCTGGCCCTCTAGCTTTCTGAACCCTCATCTCCTCACAGAGAAATGAGAAACTATGGCCTCCAAGGGCTCTTCCTGCCCTAAGGTATCAGCTCTCTAGGGTGCTTAGTAAGTCAAAGGTATGAGTTTCTTTTTAAGATACAGCTTGCAGTACAGATTAATCAGTAACTGATTCTTCTCCCCTAATCTAGAATAAGTGACTCACATTCTTAGAACACTACAGGAGGAACACAGAAGAATCCCCGGGGCAGGGAGTGGGGTTGGGAGATGACTCTAGCCAGCCAACTGAATGAAACCAAAGATCAAAAGGATGACAGAAGTGGCTGCCAGATGGCCCCAGTACTGTGTGGACGGTAGGAGTGGGTATCTTTCTTAGGGTCAGCTGATTAAGAAGAAAGAAAGGTTTTGATGATGGTAGGGGAAAACAGCAGAGATTTGGTTCTTGGGAACAAAGTCATTTACTTCTCAGCAAGTATGTGTGGCCTTCTCTCACGTGGTAATTATTATATACTTGCTGTTTATCCAGCTATTGAACAGATACTTGTTAAGTACCCACTGTGTGCCTGGACTAGGTAAAAGAGCACCATGTTGTTAGTGACTGGGTGCTGTTGTGGAGAGTACAGAGGAGACTGAGGCAGGAGATATTCAACAAGAAGCAGCTGCTCTTGCTGAGAGCAGAGGCAGTTCATTCCTGGCAGTAGTTTTGGTGACATGGTAGGAAAGAGCTTAGCTTAGTATTTATTATTTGAGGAACTGAAAGCAGACCAGGATAATTGGACAGTGATAGGCAGAGGGATGACATGGAACAAGACAAGGTTGGTAGGTTGCAAAGGAGCTTGGGCAGCTGTTGGGGGAAGGGGAAGTTTTAAGAGGCATATGGGAAATGACACTACATTTTCCAGTTGACTCTGAGTGCTCTGGAGTGCACAGAAGAGTAGGTTTTCAGTGAGGAAGGCGGAGCAGCAGCCTCAGTAAAGATGATGGCTTAGGCCAGGGTTGTGGCAGAGTTGAAAATAGCTGGATTTGGATTTATTTTGGAGGTGAAGCCTATGGACCATGTGATACACAAGATTGGAGTGGAACAAGTTTGCCACGTCAAAGTTAACTCCAATCTGAATTCAGCTCCTTTACTTCATTCCTGGTAGTAAAGGAATGAAGAACTGGCCTTGGAGCATGTTAGGACCGAGAGGACTGTGAATCTTCCCAGTGAATTGTCTAGCCGTCACCTGGGGATTCTGGTGCCTCAGCCAGGAGTTTGTTAGCATGAGGGAGCAGTAGAAATCATCCAGGGTAGAGAGAGGAGAGCAAAGCCTTCAACAGAATCCCGAAGAGCACCTGGAGCAGAGACGCATCACCACGAAGGGTGGGGGAGCGGGGCACAGCACAAACAGAAGTCCATTAGGACAACACATACCCAGTGTCCATCAGAGCCAGGGACATGGAGAGCACAGGTGGTACTTATATCGTGTCACTTCTGTTCAGTCTTCAGTGGCTCTCTATATCAGTCGTGTCAGTGTGTAGGTTTTCAGTGACCTGGTCCCACTGTGTCTTGACTGGGTTGTTTCCCCTTGGATCCTCTGGGGAGCCAAAATCTTTACTTTCTAAGCTTCTCTTCACATTTGTTTCCAGTGCATACCATTTACTAAGCCATAGTCCTTACAGAAGCTGACAGCAGGAGGGACTCCACCATTATACCCAGGCAGTCAAGAGACCTGTTTCCTTGTCCTTTTGCAACAGAGTTTAAACTAAGTGGCCGGTAAGGGTTCTCCTTGCAGTGACTGACTCAAGCCCACATAGTATGTTTTTGTTCACATTCCATTCGCTATGGCTATCTGTCAGATGGTGCTAAAGTTTCATATACTTTTCAGGTATTGACACATTTGATAAAGAGGAAAATACTAACAAAAATATCAGATTAAACAGAAAGCTGGGGGACTAAACAACGAAAGAAAGTACTATGGTACTCCGCCCTCCAAGGAGTTTACACTGCAGCTAGGAAGGTTTTTAAAAGGTGCAGCTCCCTTCCAGCACTCTTGCTAGACGAGATGACCCCGTGGTACAGGATTACTACTGTGCACACAGCATGCCATCTTCGTGAGCACTGACTGAGCAGCAGCGTGCAGGACTAACCTCAGGAGGTGCCCCAGTTGTCTTTGTGACTTACTGAGAACAATCAGAAAAAGGGACAAAGGTTCAGAGTGTTGTAGGGGACAATGTGGAGACAACGAAGGAACAGCGTGAGGTGTGTGCAGTGTAGCTCCTGTGGGGAGTGCGGTAGGGAGTGGAAAGGAGGGTTTTCAGGATATTAGAACCACACTGTGATTAAATGCCGGTCAAGATGTTTTGCACCAAGTAATAAATATGACTTCCCTATAGCGCCACCCTCAAAATCTGTCTCAGAGAGAGAGGTACAAAGAGGGGATTAAGTGTACAATGTAACAAGTAGTCCAATGTTCAGCTCAGAATGCTGAGCAACAGAGACAGCTATAGGGGGAAACCTAAAGATTTTTAGCTGAGGACATGAATGAAGTTTTAGGAAGATTTACTTTTAGAGTGGATTGAGGGACTGACTGAAGTTTCCCCTGTATTCCTAGTTATAAAAGTCACATCAGCATTAAACAAATGGCTACTTGTATTTGACATTTTCCCCTATTTTATACTCCAGCCAGAACCCGAAAAATTCAGAGACAGAAAATGACAAGATTGTTCCCAAATCAACAGTCAGTATTCCTGAAACAGAAGAACTGATCGCACCTGGAACACCTATTCAATTTGATATTGTTCTTCCTGCTACAGAGTTCCTTGATCAGAACAGAGGCAGCAGGTATGCTCGAAGGGCAGTTATTGCTGAGAGAAGTCAAAGTAGATTTGGCACCTTTTATGTCCCCACCCACCAAAGCCCAATGCCATGCTGACTTAGAGTTCAAGTGCTAAGCATCCCTTTGACTGCTGACCTTTGGCTGTTCTCCTAGGCGTACCAACCCTTTTGGTGAAACTGAGGATGAGTCATTTCCTGAAGCAGAAGGTAAGCTAGATTGGTGTGTTCTTTTCCCTGTACAAAATGACTAAGGGCCATAGAAATAAGATATGAAAGCATATTCTAGAAAGCTGTAATTTGGAATGTAAATTTAAACTATGACCCATCAGTTAGTTATTCTCTGAAAATTTAGTAGGAGACATGCAGTGAGGGCACACTGGGGGGGAAGATTTTATAAACTTTTTTAGCATTAACCACACCCCATACCCTTTTGGAGCTCCTGCATAGAAATGTTGCCAAATATGAATCAGCTATCATGTTTCTATAAAACAGATTTAGAGAGTAAAAATGTTCCCATTAGTGTAGTCTTTGTGACTTTGTGAAAATATGCTATTTCATTTTTAAAAATCAAAAATAAATGATACTTAAATTCTCCAAATTCAGATTTTTGTTGATTTATATTTTTATAATATACTTAACATACCAGGGGAGGTGACCAGACTACTCAACTGAGCAGATTCCCAGCCAAAGCAATTGAGTAATTAGAAATGCTAACAAGATCTCTAATAATACAGGTTCATGTTGGGAAGGTAAAAATGTCATTGGACTGAATTCCTCTGCTTATTTAATTTTAAAAGTACTATTTAAGGGGGCTAGTGGAGTAGCTCGAGGTAGAGCACCTACCTAGCAAGCATGAGACTCTGAGTTCAAACCCTGGTACCACCACCCCCCAAAAAAAAAAATTAAGAATTTGCATTCCTTATAGCTTTAGGCAAAAAGCTTTTTGTTTTAATGACATTAACAATCTCTGGCTCTCTCTTATCTAGCTGACTTTTCACAACAGTCTCTACTGTGTGTCTTCAAGTCCATAGCAAAAACTTTCCTATTTAGCTGGGCACAGTGGTGCACAACTGTAACCTCAGCATTTGAGATGCTGAGGCAGGAGGATCATGAATTCCATCCCAGCCTGGGCTACACAGTTAAGACCCTGTCTCAAAAATTCTCTCAAATAAGACTCTATTGTGAGAGTAACAACTTATGATGTATTTACCTAATACCTTTTTTAAACTTTTAAGTTATTTTTAGGGACAAATGAGGAAATGCATTAGCATGTAAATTAATTGTTTTAAAAAGTCTGGCGGAAATGCTCTTGTGATTTATTCTAGAAGGAGGTTCATCTGGCACCACCAGCTCACTATCTCATTTTATAGATGGAAGAAAAGAGGAGCCTTTTTAGTCTGTAGAAATAATTCCACACAAAACTGACAAACACAGATAATAGGAGATTCCAAGCTTTGGCAATACTGGGCTTCTAACAGCTATGCTGAGAACCTTTGGTACAAAGATCTTCGTAGGCCATCCAACCTGAGGTTGAGCGTCTGACACTCAGCAGCAGAGAACCCAGTGGCCCTGAGCAGAACGTGCTCTCTTGCAGATTCTCTTCTGCAGCAGATGTTTATAGTTCGGTTTTTGGGATCAATGGCCGTGAAGACAGACAGCACAACTGAGGTGATTTACGAAGCCATGAGACAAGTACTGGCTGCTCGGGCTATTCACAACATCTTCCGTATGACAGAATCCCATCTGATGGTCACCAGTCAAACTCTGAGGTACATTCAGTTTCCTTCACAGACTCTCTTATGCTCCCTCTGATTCCCCTTTCAGAAGGCATATTCACCCATCTGGAATGTTAGTGCTAGAATATTTGAATGGATTAAATGAAGATGCTACTCATTTACCCCTACCATTTTTTACACTTGCATTTTATATGGTATACAGAATAGAAGATGTTCCCTTAAAGACAAGAACTGGCCAAGAGTAGTGGTACATGCCTACAGTCCCAGAACTTGGGAGACTGTGGCAAGAGAACCAAAGTTGAAGGCCAGCCTGGGCTGCAGAGTGAGACCTATCTCCAAAAAGGAAAAAACTGACATCTTTGAAATTCACTCCCTTAGATAAGTGCTTGAGACTTCAAAATATGTGTATATACATAATGCTGTATCTTGGAGATGGGAGCTGTGTTTAAACACAACATCATATATGTTGCCTATCTGTATCCTAAAGGTAATGGTACATAATATTCTTAATAATTTGTTCAGGAAAAAAGTCATGGTGTGGAATTTTGTACTTGTGGCATCATGTCAGCAGCACATTTTGCATTTTCAGATTAGGGATGCTCAAACTGTACTGTGTTCATGGAGATGCTTATTCTCTGTCATAAATCAGAGGGTTTTTTTCCATTTGAGAAAGGACATGAATCTGCCTAAAATAAATAGACCACCACAGAAAACAAGATTAACTTTGTGAAGAGGATAAAAACTATGAGGCTAGATGTACCACAAAAAAA